GTGAAAGCTCCTGGATCCATTAGTGCAAAATACTGTACAGCAATACTTTATAAATAAATTTAAGTGCAATTGTTTTGTGCATTACATTCAAGTCAGCCTAAGGAACTCCTTGAATCATAAGTGAGGTACTTTTGGAAATCCCATGAAAGATAACAATGGAAAAGTGTTTCTTGTGTTTCTGGACATGTCCTTCCCAAATAGTTCTGCATTACTTAATCAACATGAGTAGTACCCATATTATAAAAATATTAGCTTTTATTTACAATGGTTAATTAACAGAAGCCACTATTGAATGACAATGAAAGGGCACTCACCCTTGAAATAGCCCAGGCAAAACTGTTTGTGTTTCTGACTCATTATTCAGCCTTTCAGAATATCAGATTAGTAAATTCTCATGAAAAAGAAGGATACAGTACTACCTAACCAGGAATGTGTTACCGCGTGAATAATCAGATTAAATATATAGTAATTATATTCAACTGGGATTTATGATATAAATATACACACACAATAACCAAGTTTCTGATATATAAGTTCCCTATTTCCCCATTAAACATCCAAAAGATTAAACCATCCACCAAACCCACAGTTCTAAGGTCATATTTATCTTATTCCATTATTTTTTGGCAACTGGTGCAAGAGATAGACCACAAGGCTAATGTTAAGCCCTTATGTTTACTCCTATGTGAGAGGGGTTACCGTACGTGAATATCATAAAGCCTAAACATTTACCTCTATGAGAAAAGTTATATGGGCATTACTGAGGCTTTATTGTACATGAACCCTGATGAGAAGAAGGGTTACAGTTATAGAAAGGACAGTGATAATAACATTGCAAATGAAGTAGACAAGAGAGTGAGTATTTAGGGAAGAGCATTTTGAGCAAGATTTTGTAGACATCATCATGCTTAGAATATGAAGTAACATTGGCAGTAAGTTTAGTATCAGTTCAAGTAACAAAACATCATAGTATATGTACTGTTTGATCCTAAGGAAATATCATTAGGGTATACTGTAGGTACACACACAGGATTAAGACAGTACTCTAGACACTAACATTGAAAACTGATGGGAAGAGTTTGTGTAACCTCACAAGGTATATAAAAGTGAAAACTGACACACTGTTACATCTTGGAGAACATTAAGTGCATGAAAGTTCAAGTTCACAGTAATTTACTACAAGATGAAAAATCCTTCTCGAGTTCATTTGTTGATGTACTAATTCTTACCTAAATTATAACAGTATCCTATAAACTGTATATTTCCCTTATTGTCACTGGAAGACGAGGAAAAGTGTGGCATTATGACCATGAAGTCCACTATCAGAAAGAACCTTTTCCTGGTGCATTTTATTTAAAATATTGGTTGTGTCCCTGTGTCTGTCTACAACACACATTAAAGGCACAATAACAAAGTGGAATGCTAGTGGGAAACAATACACCTGTATATATGTATATATATTACACACATAGAAATGTTTTAGGATAGTAATACAAACAGGACCAGTTCATAATTTTAAGGAATATTAAGGGTTGTTAGTCCTGTGTGAAGCAAACTTAAAAAAACATCGGGATTTTGCCTGGAACAAACCGAGATGTACAATATTGTGCTTAAGTAAAGTTGTCACAGAAAAAATGGGTTGATATCCTTACTATAATGAACAATATGGCTGACTATTTTAGATGATTACCTACATTACTTAGCTACTGTAGTTGCATATCTTCAAAGAGTCACTGATGCTTATGAAACATCTAATGAGAGACCTAGGGAGCTTTCAGTAGAGGAACCACAGTGGTCAGTCAATGAGGGAGCAGATGTAAGAGACAGCACACAGTAACTAGTGATCCGGGTGTACTGTACTAGGACAGTCATAATTGATGATTTTGCCGGAGGTGCAGGTAACAAAGATGAAGTTGGAGGGAGAGCTAGACTAACATAAACAACGCAGGTACAGTACTGTGACACTGCAGATATGGATGGTATGAAGATTAATGTGTCGGGTGGGAAAAGATGAAAAAAAAAATCCAGTAATATGCAAGATATATGTTGTGAGAATACATGTTAGCTTGTCCTAGGGATATGGGAAATTAGTATGGGTTAGTTTTCTTAATTATCAAATGAAAAAGCAAGGAAAACAAAAGGCTGGAAAACAAAGTGCTAGTTTAGACCCCCAATAACTGGTTGGATAGGAATATCTGTACAATTACAAATTTGGTTGAAAAGATAAAGCCAAAATTCTTTGGAGATTGAATACAAGTAAAAAATGAGATTACAGTATTTTGTTTGAAAGTGTATTAGTTCTAGTACAAAGTTAGACAAAAATGAGTAGGTATTTAGGAAAAAGGTTCAATAGTCCTGACAACAGATGAGTACAAGTAAAGAGCAGAGTTCTGTATTACCAGCATAAAGATCTGGAGTTGGTAGAAGAGATAGCTACAGTTTAAGGGAAATTCAGCCAATGGTGGAATGTGTAAGAATCTGGGATTTAAGAGTATTAAACTTACCGGTAACTCTTTTGTTAGATAGTATATCCTAAAATTTCTAGGGTATACACGCATCAAGAATAAACTGCAGTAGAAATCACGGTACAGTACAAGATTTTAAGCATTGGAAAAAAAAGGACAAATAAAGTATTGGGCTTCAAAATTGTCATATCAAATTGCAGTGACAGAAAATCTGTTTAGTGTTGTGAAACAAGACAGAAATAGTGAAGTCTGAGGTAAAACACAAGAAATAATGAGTGATTAATTGAAATATAAGTGTATTCCATCACTACTGTATGTTCTCCAAGAATACTCAGAGTACATGTAGTAGAAGATGTATTACAGATCACACTGGAAGTCAATGATGACTTCACCATTTATATACAGTGTTAAGTGAATGGTAGTGACAATTTCCAGTTAATGAAAGCCTTGTTCGTGTACTTGTTAAGTTCCGTACAGTACTGTAAACAGTCATCACCTTGTGTTATGTTAATACTATACTTAGTTATGTATAGTTTATATTCTACCAACAAGTTGCCCTCATTCATACACATACCGGGAGGCAAATCACCTTTTACCACATAAATTTAACTTATATTTAGCAAAAGTTTGCATGTGCTTGGCTGCACATTGCTGCCCAATCTACCTCCCCCCCCCTCACTTCTTTGAACCTAACACACACACCACTCAATGGGCTGAAAAATACATAAATTTTTCTCAGTTAATAAAATTTAAATTCATTTAATAAACCTAACAATTATGGGGGTTTGTAAATACTGAGGTCTTATTTTGAGTACAGTACTCTATCATTAAAATACAAAATAGCGTACTGCTCAGTAGCCCTGACTGTCTTTAGTGACCTTAAAGTAAATACAGTAGTTACAGAAGATACAGTAATATGTTACTATCTTCTGCAGTATAGTAAAATCCCTCTTAATCGGACTTCTTTAGTCAGAAGAAACTACAAAGGTCTGGCTTAGGGGGGTTTGTGTGGGAGTTATATATCTCACACGAGGCGTCAACAAAAATGGTGGAAATTTTTATTGTATAACTTGACTTTTTTTATCAATACCAATTAACCAGAAATGGCATTATGTAATGTTCTCCTGCTGTTATCATCTCCTGTGTATCTGTACAGGTATTAAAATATACAGTACCGTACTAAGAAAATTATTACTGTTCAATCCAAACCCTCAAGATAATAAAATATACATCTACAATACTGTGTACTGTACTATATACTACTTGGTAACCCAACTGTTTTGTTCATCCTTGACCCGAGTGTACGGCTGCTCCACTGAGGTCATGTTAGGTATGCATATTAATATCCTCTCCAACACATTATAAAAAAATCTAGGAACGCTGCCCAAGTATACTGTAGATGAGGGCAACTTGCATCTGTTTCAGTAATATTAAACATTTACTTCTGGGGATGGCTTTATGGAAAAGAAGATAAGGGAAAGAAGAAAGAATGGAAGAAATAGCTGTACGGTATCTTTTTAGGAATCCAATTGGCTTTACAGGAATCAATATAATTTTTAATAGATCACATAGCTAAATAAAGTTTGCTAAAGAAAATACTGTAATGATAATCAACACAAAGGCAACCAGGTGATGAACACTCAACACTGCATTTACTTTAGTTTATAATATCTTGAGATAAGAACGCAGGCAATTACACTGAGCCTTTTGTCATATTATTCATGCATCATAAGCTCTGAACTGCTAAAGACAGCCCTGAGTTACTATAGTGAGCTCTAAATTGCAAAAGTGAGCCGTCAATTACTAATGAGAGCTCTGAATTGCTAAAGTTAACCATGAATGAGTATAGAAAGCCCTGAAATAGTAAACTGAGTCCTTTCTAGTGTACAGTATATCACTATGCATTTTCATCTTCATAAATATTAAGGCGCTGAGCATTAACAAGCTCATTCCATTAATATAATTTTATTTTACTGTAAATACTGCATAAAACTGATATTACAAAAGTTTGAATAAAACTAGAGGAAAAAGGCCGTGTCAAAGAACTCATGAGCACCGTACGACACTTGACCCTTCATAACGGAAGATCAATGACAATGTAACCCATTGAAGTAGAAACACAACAAAAGTTAAAAATACAATTAAGAAAGAGGGAGTGTCAAGAGTTACTTCTATCTACACTCAACATTGAAAAAAAAATTACTAGTGCAAAGTGATTTGATGAACATTTATAAGTTATTACATATCAAGTCACACACATGTTGGAGGTTCACTGTTTATATAAAGCTGGGTTAAAATCCTTGTGTAAACAAGTTTCAGCATACCACTGTGAGTTAGTTGTGTTAATGAGTAGATGGCAATGAACAAGAACTAGCCATTGAAATACAGGTACCAGTGTGCCAAATAAAAATGATAAACCAATGAAAATAATGTAACTTAAAAGAGGATATACAGTACAGAAAAACTCTAAAAATCAATAATAAAAAGTATGACTAGGGTTTCATGCTTGATGTTTAAAGTATTAAAAATACAATGTAACTGGATAAATTTATTAATATTTTAAATGCCATGCTTTTTTCTGCACAATATTCAATGCACAACAGAGATGCACATATTGTACCATGCAATAATCTTATAAACTAAAGCTGGAAATACTTATATCAACCACTAACCTTAAATAACTTTTGTCTTTCAGTTAAAATTTAATTCACTGGGAGTAAATATTTAAGATACTGTATGCTATTAACTGAAATTCTTGTTTACTTACGGCATTAAAAAAATTGTGAGTAATGTTGAGTATTTAAGTGTTTTTAAGTAAAAATAATAAACTATAGAACCTTGCAATAACTACCATTATCTACCCTCATAATGACTCAAAATCAAAATAAAACACTGACAGACTGTGATTTACAAAAGGGTTACATTCCTGAAAATACTCTCATAATTTGATGCAAGTTTTCCAATAAAAAAAAATTATAAAATGGTGTACACAATGACGATAAAATAATATTAAACATTAACACAGTACAGCAATTTGTATCTGTACAAGAAGAGAAAAATATGAAACTTGAAACAAAAAAATCACATTGTCGTACCATTAACGTATATAATTGGAGATGCATTTTGTTCACTTCCAAATTCCACATTACCTCTTACAACTCTACTGGTCAAACAAATGAAATTTAAGAATACGGAATAATTTTCTTTTATTTAATTTTCCACTTATTACGTGAGAGTAAATGAAGAGAAGTTAAACAATTAGGCAACTGACTGAGTGACTTGTGTGGTGGTGTGAGCGACGAGTCTACGTGTCTTCACAACCTTATGAGTGTTGGAAAATAATGATTTAAGGCTGAGAAATACTTAAACAAACTGATAAATAACACACTACATTATTTTAACATTTTCATAATGGTTAACGATATTTTTTCTCGTAAATCAAAGCGTGGGCAAATTTTTTTCGTAACCAAGAATTTTCGTGAATCAAATTCTCGTCAATTGGAGTCTGCCTGTACACAAATAAAACGATGTAAATTATCAGACAACAAAAACACAACCATCAATTATCATCACACTTATTACTTGGAAAACTTAAACTGACACCAAGACAAACGAAACCAAAAGCAAAGAACCCATTAGATTTGACAAGTTAATTCTCAACATCCAGACCAGCTTTAATGACTTCACGTTCAATCCAAACATTAAACTATCTGTTGTTCAATGTAAGAAGAAAAAATCTTCTAATTTTGGTATATTTAAATTTACTTCTATTTAGTATATGCCTTAATAATGCTGGATCCTGCTAAGATTTGCTTTTATTTTAACACAGCAATAAACACACCATAGTCTTCATCAACTCACAATACACTAACCTAAGCATTGGCACAAAGATACACACAAGTTGGCAACAGGATAAAGAATGGCAACAGTTCTTCAACAAATAAGCAAGAAAAATATACTTTAAAACTTCACATCACACTTTATATAGCTGTAAACCATTTGCTCGATTTGTTTAAAATTTATAGCCCATTTATATTCTCTAAGCATTAAACAATACCTGTGGGAAAGAACTTATTTAAATTACTTTAAAAGCAAGTCAATTTCATCAGTCACACAATTCGAAAACCATTAAAATATTCTAAAGCATCGAGCTGAACAGTGTCTACGGTTATGGTTTTTCTTTTCTGTAAAATTATTTCAGAGGTCACTGGCAAGATCAATAAATCATTCAGTAACTTCATAAAAGGGGCATTCATAATAATGTAACTTGAACTTAAAACAAAATGATTGTTTCCAAGCTTCAGTCAAAATGCAACTTTCATTGTATTACCATGAATTGAATACAACTTATATAAAACTAGGCCCATGCTTTTACAAGGACAAAGTTTACCTTATTTTTGTGCATGCATATTTCTGCTTCTGATAAACTACCAGCCTGAAATATAATACATTTTAGTTGGTTTATCCAAGTCAACTTTAAATGCCATTCAGTGTCATATATGTGACCATTTTAATGAAGGTAGTTGTTGTAGAGATTCTGCCGGTCTAATGTTTATTCTCATCGGGTTTGCAGTCCCATCGATGATGTACTTCTGGTGTGAAGTTGATGATGCGTACGTGCGTGGCTTGGCATTTTTCTCGTTTAGGAGGAATGGGACACAGACGGTAAGTCACTTCATCGCCCTCTTGAGGAACATATTCTCCCTCAATACTGTAGATATTATTGGCATTACATTTATATTCAATTAAATTGTTCATATAAGTAAACACCGATACATTTGTGGTGTAAGTGAAAATTTATACTGTAATACAAATATAGAATATCTGCTTTTATATCAATCCTGCTTTCTCCAATTTGAGAAGACAAAATTAAAAGAAATAATCAGCAATTCTCAATGAATGGCATGAAATGAAGGATTGCAGTAGGAAAACCTAAGAATCAAGCATAGGGCGAGGTGAAACATTCCCTACGCCCAATCACCAAACACAGGAAGCCGGGAAAACCCCACTCACCTACCTAAATGCGTGTTACACATCCTCTGACTAAACCAAAATCTAGAACCCCATCAAACTCAAACTTGGCTCAGATTGGCCACAGCAAGGGAGAAAACTAAGCATCCTTTTTCCCAGGAGCCAAGATAAAGCCACTACTGTACAGATTTTCTGGTGTCCTGCAGACCAATTACTGTACGTGAAGGAATCATCCTTATTTTCCAAAACGGGTTTCCTCTATAATGCTTATTCTCATCTCAGGAGCATTGATTCCAGAATCAATCATCTTTGGTTCACCAAACAAAATTCAATCCCTCACAAAGAAGACAAACCAACTAAATGAGTCTAATGATTTTTCACTATAATGAAAAGTCCATGACACTCCAGATTAAGACCCCGGATCAACAACCTAAAAACTGATGACAGCAATGTGCTCACAATTGCAAATGAGAATTGCTTCTACTGGATTATGCATTACACACAAACCTGTGTCCAACACTAGGAGCTTCATTTGTTGACAACCCTACAGTACTGTACTCTATCATAGACTGACCAAAAACAGAAATATCCTCTAAATTTGTTATGCCTTTACAGTGCATTATGAGTGCAGAGAAAAAGACACTTGCTACAGACAAGGAAATTCAAGCAGAGTTGTGAGCTTTTGATTATGAGAGCGAGGAAGACCTGATTACAATATATTGTTTCGTATTTTTTTTTATAAAGTATCTATAAATGAGAATTTAAAAATGTATATAACTTCAGTATTTATCTTGCACAGTAATTTCCACAGAAATTAAAAAATAAATTTGCTGTCTTGTTTCTTTTCATTTCTTTACCCAGTAGTTAAGGAAATTTTCACCTAAAATTGAATTTGACTTGTGATGATACAATATTTTGAATTACTGTAGTGCACTGTACAAATTACAGTACAGTAATTTATGAATCATTATACAGGCAAGTATTTTTTATTAGTTTTAGCTGGGCAAATACAATGCATTTTGGGGGGAATAATTTTTTCCATATTTTAGGAGATTTATCACCTAAATTTGAGAACTGTATAAAACATATGATAACATTTTGAGTTACTATATAATGTATGACATATTATGATTTATTATACAGTACAGTATTTATGCTTCTGGATTAGTTCTGGCTCCTCAATAAAATGACTGGGCAAATATTATGCACTTTACTGATAATAACTTTTCCCATTTTTTTTAATAAAAAAAATGATTTTTCACTATATAATTGGATTTCCAAATGATTTAAATGCCAGATATAGAAACCTCGTGGTCTAATTATAATAAATAATAATACTGTAATAAATTAAAAATAGTAATTTCATATTATAAGGAAACTGCAGCTTTTGAGAATACTGTACAGTACTGAAATTTTATGATGCATTCAGTGTTAATATTTATTAAAACTACTAAAAATAATTTTCTAATTATCTGAGGCTGGTTTATCACAGGTAAATACGGTAACACAATGAATGCGCCTCTATATACATTACAGTATGGTTCCAATTGAAAAAGTAATCATTGGCTGAATTCTCATTCAACAAGACCAATTTTCCGAAAAGATCCCATGTTAAAAGCTGGGATGTGTTCCAGCCCAAAATCACTCATAATATCAACTTAGATTTGCTTCAGGCCAAAGAATTTTGATCCTAAAACCTAACAATTGTTTTAGTATACGTACAGTACAGTACAGTACTCTGCCTCAGGAGTACAAACAAATTGTCAGAGTACACTAGCCCGACTGGCTGCCCAATATTAAAATAACACAAGTTTACTTATTATGTATAATTGTAAGGTTAATGTAGCTGTGAAGTGCCATGTGACTTACTCTGAGATGTGAAGGAAGAGGTCATCGGCACCATCATCCGGGGTTATGAATCCATGACCTTTTGTTCGGCAAAAATATTTCACTTTCCCTTTTACCTCCGGGTTGCTGCTGGCTATTTCTGTCCTGTTGACATAAATAAGATCAGTTCTCACCTCTTATTCATTAAAAAAAAAATTATTCCAGATATAACTGCAAAAACTAATTGCATAAAGATAATTTAAAAAAAAATACTTAATAGCCAATTTCTGCTAAAATCATTTGGAAAAATTAAGCTGGCATAATACAGGTTGTACCTCTCTAGTCCGGCAACCTCAGGACCTGACCAGTGCCAGACCATGGAAATTTCCGGACCATGGAAATTCATTCTTGAAACACCCTACATAAAGTATAAAAACCTAAGATAGGACATAAATAAATAAGAAAAAGTAATTCTGTTAAAATGTTATTTCATTTACCTTTAATGCTACCATAATTCTGCTTCCAAAGTGAAGTGATGGTACTGTAACTAAAATTACATTTGAGTTACATCAGGGATGTAGGCTATTGGGCAAACTAAAATCGTTCCAGACCACGGGAGTTTCCTGACCACAGAATGCCGGACTAGAGAGGTACAACCTATATGACACTAAAAACAATGTTGCTTCACATTAATGAAGCTAAATACAGTATAAAATTTACCATTAAATTCTGTTTAAATTCAACAACTGAATACCTGTACTGTACTTTTGACCAATATGCGAGACTAATAAAAACGGTCTTATTTCAAGGGTACTGTACCAACTTAATAATTACAATAGTTTAGAGGCTGCAGCCACTATCTGGGATGCTCTTGTAATTGTGCATATCCAATATGGGGGGGATCACCCTTAGCTGCCTTGGGGGGTAAGGGTCACAACTACTTGTCTTGAAGATGGTGGCTAAATGCAAAGGCTGCCTTCTAAAGGCAAGTCTACCAGAGCTCATGTCTGCCTGGGCAGTACATGTTGTCATCAACTTAAATTCCAAGAAAAATCTGCCATTTGTCAATCAGTGGCTGGCTGACCACTTCAGAGACAATATGTTTCTCCCCAAACTCTTCCATGCTAAAATTGAGTTATGCTTATGTTTTGTAAGGTAGCTTTAGGAGATTACAATAATTCTAGGTATGTTTACAGTACAGTATATGATTATCAAGTACCATTCTAGGCATGTGTAGTAACAAGAGCAACCTGGCAGAGGGCACTTAAAAATAAAAAAAGGGGGGGGGGTGTCTCTAGCACACTATACAGTAAATGGATCAGTTCTTACGTTGATTTGGTGCGGTTACGTCTGGTGATGATGGGTGAGGGAATCTGAAGGAGGAACCCCTTGTTGGGACTGTCCGGGGTCAGGCTGCTTGGTGATGACATTATGTATGCTGAAATGAAAAAGGGAAAGAAATTTTTTAAACTATGACCTACCCTTTTCTACTGATAATACTATACCTACAGTAGTATTATAATTTACTAAATTCGTCATTGGGACAAAGCAGTGGGTTAAGCATTACGATAAATCTGTGGAATGTTCTAACTTCCTCTTTCTGTTGTATCTCTCATCAATGTGATCTGTATAATTGGTAACTGTCCTCACAAATGTTCTCATACATGTATTACTACAGTATTTATGCCTTTGTTATACCTGTAGTATATTTACCAATACTGTACAGTACTTGAAAACAATGAGTACAGTAACCCTAGGATATAATGCCAATATGCAACTCATTTTGATATAACACAAAATTAAGTGAGGTACTTGCTAAGTAATGCAGTAAGTACAGTACAGTACTGTCATTAATTTACATGTCTTGGCCAGCCCTCCCAGAGGCCTCAGAATCAGCAGATGAAGCAACAACAAGTGAAAAATGATCTAACAGTACAGTACTGTACTCCTCTCATGTAGTACAATCCATATCTATTTTATTTTTTGGGTGCCAACTTAATTTCCATTTCTATAAAATCCAGCAAAATAAACCATAAAACGTCTGGAACAGATGTGAAAAGTGTTATCCAGTGTGACCCTGCCAAACATCACAGGTTTTTCCCTGCATTAACACTGGACAAAAATTTCATAAAGTAAGGTAAAGGTGGAGCAGATGGTTAGTATCCGAAAGCCTTTATATATTTTGTTATTTTCCACAACTGTTCTTTGGATGATACAGAGTAATAAAATTGAAACAACATTTTAGTATTTTTTTTTTTTAGCCCATCCTTCAATCATAAGTTACTTGTTAGTGGGCACGGCATGAAAGAGGAGGAAAATAACGGTGTAAAAACACTGTGAACACTGATCATATGGCAGTAATGTCACGTCTCTACATGCTTTGTAGGCGAAGAAATAAATTATTTACCATAATTATGGCACCACAAGATCTCCCGTGGCGACCATGTTTTGGTTCACACCATCTGCTATATAGGAGCATCTGCAGTTTTTGTTAACAAGTCAAGAAATGAACGATGATCTCATCAGGCTTGTTTATTACGATTCATATTGGATTTAAATTTTGTTTTTCTATCAATGTTTGGATTATAGTAAGAAAGAAAATTGAAACAACAATGCACACTGCACAGGTTAGGAAGTTAGGTGAGGCTAGTTCGTTTAGGTAAGGTTCTGCACATTGTTGTTTCGATTTTCTTACTTAGTATCATCCAAACAACATCTGAAAATTTGGTGCAATTCCATAAAGTCCTTCTGGTCCTAACTGTCTGCTCCACCATTACCCAAAGAAACAAAGAACAGACAGATTGCATGAATGGCTAGCAAGCTGATAACTCGTGAAATGATAACTAAAATAAAAAAAACTATACTGTACTGCAGTCGGCTTTGGCTGATACAGAATTAATGATAAGGAAAAGGTCTAGGCGTTGAGATAGAGGAGTCTCGGAATAGAGCGCAACAAGTACGAGCAGCAGTAAAAAAAAAAAAAAAAATTTATGAATTGCAAGTCACACCTTCAGTATAATGACAAGAAAATGTTCCTTAAACTTTATCCATACAGGCATGGAAACCTTATCTCCAGAAAGACAACATCCCTAGAAAAGATGCAACACAGTGTGACTCGGGTGATTCTGGAACAGTCATTTTGATTACCGGTATCTAAGACTAACAACTTCAGACAAGGCACAATATGGCAGATCTCACAGATTTTCAAAATCTTAAAAGGCATGGAAAACATGAACTTGAGCCATTTTTGTGTAATGTTATACACCACCATGAGAGGACACAACTTCAAGCTCGACACAATGTCATGCAGGGTGAATATAAGAACACACTACTTCACACAGCGGGTGGTACAACTACTACACAATCTACCTCAAGCTGTGGAATTTAGAACAGTACCGGGCTTCAAAATAGCCCTTGACAAGATTATCGATAACAATGGAGGGATCCAACATAGGCCACTGGCCTCCTTATTTTAGCATGGTCACCTCTAGTGGTCATAAGTACAGTATATAATTAAGGTAAATACACTAATCCTCTAGAACAGTATCACAGATATACCAAAACTTTTAGGAATTTTTTCAAGAAGATAAAGGTGCAGTTAAGTAAATTACAATAGGTAGGTTTGGTAGGATCATCTTAGCTCTGATAAATCATATAATGTAGTTTCAATTACTATGTTTCTGAAATCATTCAAGTGTATGAAACTGTAACGTCAATAATGAAGTCCCCCATTCACCAGGTTGACATATGTCATGTTCACGGAAAACATTCCTTGTCATTATATGTGAATTCCTTGAGGTAAAAAAAAATGGTTGTGTCCTTAAGTAAAATTTTTCCTAAAGTTTATAGTTTTCCGATACTATTTTACCATTATCTTTTTTTTTTCAAATAATAAGACCATAAGTTGGCACTCGTCCATGAAAGTTATCGATACCATGCCACCTAATGGTTTAATGTCGACCAAGATAATGCTCGTACATTGACATGGAATTCCATAATTAACGCATCTTAATACTTGGTCTATGATGAAAAAAACTAATTCAAATGACCAAAATATAAAAAGAACGTACAGTACTTAGTTTATTCCAGCACCAATTGGACATTTGCCATCGTATCCTCCCAACAGGCACACAATGTAAACAATAGTGACGCTGTGTATTTACAACAAATCCCCTCTAATACATAATTATTCTTACAAGTTCAGTGTTTTATTCAATCTCTTACCTTTTCTGTCAGTTGAATTAAATGCGCTAATTCAACTTCTTATCAATAACAGGAAGGATGGGAGGGTAGCTATTACACACGTCCGTCCTCGGCTGTTGTCACCCGATAACTGTGGAGAACTATCTGCCAGTCAAGGCCTCAACCCCACACAACTAATCTTTATTTCCAAGTGATTGGTCTAATTTTTCTTATAAATTCATGGCATTTACATCATATATGACTATTTGTATCGAGATTTAAAAACTGTACAGAAATTCACATGGATAATGGAAATATCCAGATCATCTGTGAGTATGAGTAAATATTGAATTTTTACTCTCAAGAGAACTAAAACCCACACAGCCCATACTGGATATTAGATAGGTAGGCCTATATTTCTCGGTAATGAATCATAATACGTTAGTTTTTCTACGATAATTAGAGTACAGGTATTTATTACTTAATTCTTATTTTTTTAAACAACAAAAACTTCAGACTGGACGGGAGATATTGCATTTTGTCATTGCCAAAACAAACCCGCCCTTTACAACCTCGAATATCTAACCCCGCATGTGCCAGAAAAGTTCTTATTACTTTGTTGATAATTAAATAAACACCTTTATTGAGCTTTGCTACTTATGGCTGGTGAAGAATTCTTCGCGTTGTTTTTATTACCTACGGCTGATAAAGGTCTCATTTTCATAGTTTTAGCTACTTACACAAGTAATTTTTCATAGATCTTGCTACCTATACCTGGCAAATGATCTCTTTTTATTGTATTCATTTATTATGACTGGAAAAGATCTTTTCATAGTTTTAGCTAGTTTCATCTGACAAAGGTCCTCTTTTCATAGTTTTCATTACTTGCAACTGGCTTGTCTTCTCTTTATAATTTTCACTACAGCTCAAGGTTGAAAAAAGCCGCAAGCCCAGAAAACTGTGAGGTAACTTTTTCGGAGTGATAGTTATGAACTCTCGGAACAATCTGCCAGAGTGTTGTGACAGCACCGAGTGTGAGCTCTTTCAAGACCAGACTTGACAAGCACTGGAACCAGTTCAAATACATTCAGGAGCCAGTGCATGCCCAGTATACTTGTCAACAATGTGTAACAGTGACGTGACCGATTGCCCAAGCAGCTAACAAGCCGATCACTGACGAGGATAAGAGTATTTATTGTTGGCAAAGCCCAAAGTTGATACACTGAAGTAAATGGGTTCTTTTGCTGATCATCTCCAGTTATAATCAGGACAAGTAAAAAGTCTTTAACAACAATTTGACTGAACTTTCTCGGAGTGAAAATTATAAACTCTTGGCAGAGTTGCAGGCAAGTACAGTGATTGCTTAATATACAATATCTTCCTGAAATGGAGTTGGGGTGCATGTCTGCCAAGTGTGGAGCCTTTGTTGGACCACCTATTTTTCCAGCTGACTTTCTGTAATAAGAACAATCTTGTGGAGGGTACCTACTGTAGTTACAAATGGAAGATTAACCCCTAAGTCCTTTAGCTCATCAACTCCAATACTCTCCCCCCTCCTTGGGTTTGAGATTGGGTTACTTGAAACTAAATACAAAAGCAGTTTGGACATGAAATTAAAGATGGTGGTGTTCCGTAACTCCATATTCCGGATATTCTGTATGTAGTAAAGGAAGCCACTTGGCTGTGGAGTCAGGGAACATATAGGATTTCATGATCGCTCCTTAATATACTTTACCTTCAAGGTTTCCACCAGCTTCTGAAAGTCTCCAATATAAGACCCTTTTGTATATGAACACCATCTCATGTTCAGTTAATTTGGGTAATTCAATAAAGTGCAGTGTGTGTGTGTGTGTGTGGAAGGTGGGGGTACACAATGGGTGCAGTGGTGCAAATAGCAGACTGCAGGATGTTGCTGACTTTAAGTGTACTACATGAACAGGTAATCATGTGACCTTAAGGAGACTGAAAAAGCTCAACATTGGGAATGTAGTTAAATAAACTGAATCTATGAAGTATGTTGATGAGTCTGCTACCAGGGTAGCAGGATCAGTGCTGAAAGTGGTGCTGCAGCCAGCTCAGCTGCAAGAGTCAGAAATAGCTGGAATAAGTTTAGGGAGTTGTTGCCTTTATTGACAGAAACCGGTCATTTTCTTTGTTTGAAAAGAAAGCAGTACCATATGTAGCCAGTGTAAGAAGTGTGTTGTTGTGTGGCAGCAAAAGATGGGTAGTGAAAGAGGATGACATACATAGGCTTGAATAAGCTGAAATGACATGGGTGAGATGAATGTATTATGTGAAGGTGAGATAGGAAACCCTATTCAGAGCTAAGAGGGCAGTTAGGTACAGTATTGAGTATATTGGTGAAATTTTGCATTGACTAAGGCTGAGAATAGTTCAGGCATGTGGAGAAAATGGAGGAGACCAATTGGGTCAAGAATGAAGAGAAGAGCCAAGGGGAGGCCAAGAATAGAGTGGAAAGAGGTTGTAAGTAATGATCTGAGATAAGCACATAACAAGAGATGCTGCAAGAACCATGCAGCTTGGACATCTACTATCAGGTAATCATGGTTAACCCTCACAAGTGTGGAAAATGGTCATAAAATGGCAATGATACATGTATACAGTATATGACAAAAGTGTTGTAATAAGGCAGATTGAATTTAATATATAATACCATTTATTATTCTTTACAGTTTATCGTTATGCCTAAAACTAATGTTCAGCAATATATCAATCCAAATTTCCTGTAAAGACCGAAATAATTAGAATTTTCTTACAATACAAGTTATTTGAATACAATTTGAGCTTTCCTAGTTACTGAATCTGGTTTATCTGCAACTGTGAATTATGCTTTAATTTTTATGCATCATACAGGACAATTTAGCTAAATGAAACACAACATCAGGCCTGGAAGTTCATGGTAGGGGACCAATGACCAAAACAGAAGGGCACAACACTGTGCCTATGAAGAGGGTATTTTTGCGAGGAATATCATGGCCAGTCTGAGAGCCGTAATGGCTATGGCCACTGTAAAATTCTAAACCTGCACCACACTGCACAACCCATTATCTGGTGGAAAGTAATTTATGATACTGGACTACAAAGCCACAATTTAATCCTGACCACAGGCAAGAGTACATTTAATGCACCCAGAAATCATAAACCTTCATTCAAATACACAATCTAAAAAGCCTCAGTACTTCATATATATATATATATATATATATATATATATATATATATATATATATATACTGTATATATATATTGTACACATGGTTAGTTTCACTGGTATATTGCAATTAATGAGTATTTCAAATGTGCGTACACATTAGTATTAAGATAATGTGAGACCACAGCCCTTGACATTATCAGAAAGTACTGATTACACAACCTTAATGCTAGGTACAATAAAAAAAAATTAAGAACATTTAATTGGTAGACAGTAAGTGATCGTAATTCAAGCCTATTGTTTTTGTTTGTTTTTCAACATATTACCCTCATTAATCAGATATACATGTGAGATTATTCATACATAAAGCTATCAAGTTCTCACCAACATAATTATGAGTGAAAACATAATTATACAAGGAAGTATTATGTACAACTATACAAACTATATTTCCACACCAAGGGAACAAAGCTGATTTTATTTCATTACATTGCTGTTGTTTTTTTGCAATTCAAATTATTGGTACAGAGCAATTATTACAGTCAAACCCTGAACATGTTTGAGGGAAATTTTTTCAGTATAGTAGTACAGTACAGTACTCCTTAGATTGGACAAGTGACTTCCTAAATCAGTCTGACACTTACCCAAAACGTTCCTAATGAATAGCCATGTAAGATATCATACTTCACAAGCAGAGGAACATATGCTACACTCATGAAAAAGCTGTCCATGTCTTATACTGATAATGAAACAGTGTCCATTTCTAGAACGAAGAACAAGAGACCTATTGAAGATGGAAAAGGAAGCTGGGAGGGGGATTACAGCAGCAGCATTTTTTTAAATTTCATTCAATGTCTCATTTCTTTAACAGTCAAAATAAGGTGGAATGTGCTGAACTGGTTTAACAACAGAACATAAAGAATCTATATCCAAAACCTATAGGAAGCAAATACAGTACTTAGTGATAAGCATTGAGAAATTAATGAAATATTAAGAGGTCTCTGGAATTATTCGACACTAGATGTTTATCAGAACATTGTCTGAGATTTTAAAGGGGATTTACCTTCTTTAGTTAACACATCTTTTTTTCTGGAAATTAAAGAATGGTTCTAAAGGTAGTGGAACCTTGATGAGTGCATGAGTTAATTTCACACTCAAAAAATTCTTATTAATATACAAGATGTAAGGAAAAAATGGTACTGTATAAATTTTATCTTATACATCCTGAGCGTATAGTGAAACTTTCAAAATAATTATATGCGTTCCACTCAATACAAGTGTAATGGAAAACTTAACACTGCACATAAATTACACCCAAAAATTCATAATTATACAGTACAGGAGGTCCTCGTCATAAGGGTATTCACTATCTGAGGTTTCACAGTTAAGTGGTCAACTTTTTGTGACCATCCATGTAAAATGTCCCCACATTTAAGTGGATTCCACTCAAAAACTCCGGATAAAATCTACGAATTAAAAACTCCCAATAAACTCTACGAATTTAAAACTCCCGATAAACTCTACGGATTTTTAGTAGAAGTGTATGAAATTTCATCCTCTTCCTGGCATCATGCATGCACACACATGTTCCTGCGCCAGTCTCCCACTTTGTTTCGTCCAGACCAGTGCTGTGTTGTGCTTACTCCTGCCTTTCTTGTGTCTTTTCATGCATGTTGTGGTGAATTATTTAATAATTTTTTGTAGCAAGGAGTTCCCAACCCAAACAGGGTGTGCAGCACTCAAAAGGAAGCACACTAGCTGTAGCATAGATGTAAAATTAGAAGTGATTATGCGAAAGAAGAGTGGGAGTGGACAATCCACCTAGTACCGTTTCTTTTTCATCCTCTGACTAATCCTCCATCCCCCAACACACACTTCCATCAATCCAATCAAGCCAAACATCTCTACCTTTGAAGCTAAATAAATAAAAATATTTGATTATACAGTATTATTATTTATTTCTTAACATTATAATAAGTATTTTGTCTCAATGAACCACTAGGGTGAGTGCCCACTAGCAATGGTTGCTGCAAACCACCGGGTCGCTGACACAACCTATGTTGCCTCAACACACTGACCCCAATGAACTTTAAGGATGTTAAATAACCAAGTTAAATGATTTCTTTAAATAATGTGTTATCAAATGTTTCATAAATGTTTCTTAGGTAAATAATTGTTAAAATATATATATACAGTATTTTTTTTTGAGTGTCGTGTACACTGCCATGGTCCCAATTTGACCTATTTCCATTATTTCTTATAGGATTAATTCCCCGCTTTAAACGGATTCGTTATCAGAGGCGTTTTTCAGGTCCCAATTAACCATGGATAATGAGGACCCCGACTATGCTTTGATTAAATTCAACTGTGGGATGTTAATTGGAGTCAGACTTTCCTTATGAGTAAAGTTTTACATCATAAATCTATATACAGTAGATGAGGTTTTTTCACTCAGATACATATAAAAAAAGAACATATACTGTAATAAAATAGGCAGTCTGCAAACTTTATATTCAGAAGAAAAAAAATTTTCCTAGACAGCAGTGTTATACGAAGCAGTTATTTAAAAGAACACAATAAAATATAATGAAGGTAATTTTACCTCCATAACAGTGACTAGAGTCCAAAAGAAAAAGGCATGGTACTGTACTGCATTTTGTGTGTGTGTGTGGGGGGGGGGGGACCACAATCAGCAGTACATATCTCTGATAATGTTACTAAGTTTGTGATGACATTATACAAGGAGTCATATGAAGAAAGATATTGTATCCTGTGCATGTATTTTCACTATGACATAACAAAGTACTGTGCAGTATACACAGTACATACGGTATACCTAACATTCAACTGCCAACACAGGTACAGTAGTACTGTATATATTTAAAATTTCTGAAAAATATATGAAATATTTTGTGAATGAAAAAATCCCCATACAAAGGCATAAAAACATGACCATATAGATGTTCTTTAAACATCAGTCTGGAGTTTGCCTACAGCTTACAATAGTTAATTGACTGCAAATTGTTTACAAGTGTTAACCTACCAAAAGACTAAAAAGAATCATGCTAAAAGGAGGTTGCAGTCTTTAGAATGATTGGAACAATTGTTGATGAGTTTCAAAGTAAGTCTTAACACCTCAATAAATCTTTTACCTGCCCCTAAACTAACCAGAGCCACAATAGAATACAAAAGCATCAAGCCTCAAGCCTTCCAGCAAGATTTAGAAGGGAGATGTTTAGTCCAGACCATGTTCACATTCTTCTTTTGCCAAGGAAATTAAATATAACTACTGTATTAAAAATCATTGCAGATAAAAACAAAATTCTGAATATGAATCACGGAAACCCATGCCAGATGACAGCAAAGGAGGAGGAACCCTTAATGCACACATAAGACAACAGGATTTAAGACAGGAAAGGCATTAAAGCTGAGTTCACACTCGCCAAAATCAGTCTGAAGAGTAGGTCTAGTGGGGAGGTTCTCCAAACAGGACCAAAATGTGAGTTAGGAACAGGTACTCTGGCATGAAAACACACCAAAAGAAAATCCCAAATTATAATTATTAAGAAAGGTAGACCAATTTTCTCCATGTCCCCAGATTCCCAGTGAATAACTCTCAACACACAAATTTTGGACACCAAATCACATCACTTATCCAAAAAGGATAAACCTCGAAAACCCATTAAATTAAGAAGTCTATATGTGCCATATTAGTATAAGGATTGACATCTGAAAATTGGTTATGCTATCCCTCAAACCAATTACTGTATCCTGATAAGGAGACTGCAGATACAAGGGTTGCTGCTGCTCAAAATTAACCTTTGGTTCATCTTACCTCAGTCGTGGGAGGAAACCGAGTCGCTCAATCTAGGCTCTGTTATAATATGGGATTTCAAGATAATTCCCTCATTGAAATCTAAGTACAGTGTCTAGGTTTATGACAGTGTCACCTCTATTATGTCCGGCCAAGCAGCATCAATTCTTGGGAGAGCGTAACAACCGATCCCTTCTATGATTTTGGTGAACTAATGGGAGCTTCCCTCGTTCAGAGGATAACGAGCTGTTGGAAGATGAGGAAAACCCCTTTCTTTTGGAGTTAAACATGAGAGTTGGAGCATAGTACATGCACTCACCACACAGCTACCCCAGGTGATGCAGCATCCGCCGCTGTGTCTAAGGGATTGTATATCACCTCCAGTGATGCCAGGGAGTCAAAGAACTTTATGGAGCAGGAGTGGAGTTGGGTGCTCACATAAGGAAAAGAGGTGTCAACTACCACAAGAAGCAAGAGTTATAATTAACAGAGTAAATTTAATGTAGAAGACGAAGGCAAGACATTCACCGTGAAAATGCCAGACCCAAGGAATCTAGTGAAAATTATATCAGTAGATCACCATTGCATCTTGTGTGTCCCAATTATAAGTGTGAACCCTCAATACAGTAATGACTGAGCCATAAAAATTACTGTAACCTTTCTGGATTAAATTCCATATGACACCTAATCAAGGTCCAGTCAAACACTTAATAAATAATTTGGGAACATATTTTAGCCCATAAGCACTTTTTTTTAAAGGGATCCACAGAAAATGAATCGACTCACCAAAGGGGTCTGCCACATGAAAAAGTTTAAGAACCACTGCTCTAGTACACTGCATTGAACTGCAAGATCCCCAGATCACATGTACCAATTTTGAAGTACCCGTAAATCAATTCAAGCATTGGGAGATACAATACTGTCTAGAAACAATGCAAAAAACCCCACAAATTGTAGAATATTAATTCCCATGGAAGAGTAACTCCAAAGATGATGATACAACACATCAAATGGTACGAAAAAATGATGATGTCAAATGAAGCAAATGAGTCCAGGCATTTATTGATATATACTGCCTGGAAACAGGCTGCGAAAAAAGTGAAAGTTGATCCCATAGGCACAAATGACTATCCATTCAGGGCAGTGTGGATACAGCACACTGTATGCAGGCAGTCCCCAAGTTACAGCTGTCTGGCTTACGATCATCAGCACTTACAAACAGGATCCCATTCATCGCCAAAAATTTTAATTAAATTCCCATTTTTTATATTATTTTCATTATTCCATATTGTTTAACATCACTTTATTTACAGCATTTACATTATTTGTTATGTATGGGCAGGGTTGTGCTTTAACCTAACCTAAACTAAGGAATTAACATTGTTCTGACTTACCAACAAATTGACTTACGATCAGGGTCCAGGAAAGTATCCTGTCGTAAGTCGGGGACTGCCTGTACTAAGCTTTCGGTACACAAGGAGGCAGCATGACCGGTACTGCTCTCGACCGCCTTCACTTCCCCAAGTTGTAAACTTAGGTACCCAATTACAGTTGGGTGAACTGGAAGCACCTGAGAATTGAATCACTGACCCTTGGAACAGGAGGCAAATGCTGTATCCACTCAACTGCTGCACTTCACATTTCCTGTAATGACCAACAAAGAGGAACAACTCCCAAAATTAATATGGTATACACTACAATACACCAATTCAATTGTGCTGCACCTTCAGAGCAAATCCATGAAGTTGTTCTTGAGCTATCATCCAAAAAAATATGGCTGAGGGGGGAGGGGGGAATATGATGGCAATATGAGCACCATGAAGCTTGCGCGAGGGATACCTAATTAGTAAGACGTAAAAATAAGATTCTCCACATTTATATGTGAGACTGCACACAAGGAAATATGGACACTTACCTAACCATGCTAGTAATTCTGTAATGAATGTAGAGTAGGGTAAGTCAACTACTGTACATCAGTCATAATACAGAGCTGGAAATATTTAAACATTACCATTCCAATTCAACTATACAGTAATAGGTTATATAGGTTTGTATGCATCAGATGTGAACCAGAATTGGCAAGGCAATAATATTAAATTTCATTTCACAAAAGAAAAATTTGTAAAAGGAATTTTCATAATAACTAAACATAATGGGAATTACACTTTGTGCAAAATTCTTAAATACATCTGTAAGACGACTTCCCATTTTAGGTAGTCACGTGTTCATTACAGAACTGTATATTAAATTTTTAGCCTGACACTTAACAGGCATGGGATGAACAAACTACAGTATTACATACTGTAGTTTGTTTGTGGCATTCAAAACTTATAATGTACTGGGTAATATCTGAAGTCTATAATTTTCTCACTAACAATGTTTGATGAATGGTTGCTGATCAAATGCACGATAATCCTAATAGGTCCCAATCTAACCACTAAGAAAGTGACCCAGTCTTAAGCAGCCCAAAACCTATTGCTTAGGTTTGGTCGAGGTCTATTAGGATAGGGGGGCCACTTGACCAGCCACCAGATAAACTTATTTAGACAACAAAGAATTCATCTATATTTATGGATATTAAAAATAAAGTCCTTCCTTAATATTAAGTATGTGAAGTTGATTATAAGGTCATTCATATGATATGGTCATTAAAATTAGACAATGTCTGTAATTCATGAAGTGAAGAAAGGGGAACAAAATATTTTGAGGTTTAAATGATTACATTAACAAATAATTCTTCACTAAAAAATACTGATGAGTGGATGAAAGATGAGATCAAAGGCAAACTGGAGTGAAAAATGAATGGGTGAGTATGTTGGAATGTACAAATATGAAGAACCTTCAAAATTTTGTTTTGAGGCTGTGATAGAATTCTAAACACAACACACTACAAAGTTTACAGGATGTCATATGAAATTTTAGAAATGGAACTATCTTTTAAGTAGATCCTCAAACTCATTGCTTCCTAACCCAGAAACACTAAACCCAATGTTTAACCTTTCTCTGTCACCCACTAAACTTGTTTCACTTTGGTCTATGTTTACATTTTGTTGCTGATTACTTGCCTGGTTGAGCAGAACTTGCTGTACTTTCCCATTGTCTTCAGTGACATTGATGGACTGTGTCATATCAGAAGTGCTATGAAAATCGGAACTAGTATGCAGTGCTCCCGTGAATGTGAGACGGGGCATTGATGGCTCATTATTTACCTGTGTCGTGTCTAATTTTAAGCTCAAATTTGACGTAGAGTGAGGATTTATTGTTTGTCCTACTGCACTGTATCCTTGAGAAGGAAGAGCAACTTCAGAATGAGTTCTAAGACTTTGAGATGCCATTTGCTGTGATGATGTCATAAGGTGCTCCTGATAAACAGGTGGGCCAAGGTTAGGGTCCTGGCTCTGACTAATTCCAGCTGTAGCTTCTTGAAGCTTGAAAAGCATCTCACTCAGGTCAGTAGTGTCTCCTGAAGTGTCCAGTAGTTTTGGTGCATCACAGGCATCTCCATCACTACTACCACCAACCACTAGCCCTGTTCCTTCACTCAGCAGTCGTGGTAGATCTTCTGCAGTAATGTCTAGGTCACCTAGAGGCATCTGTTGTATTGTATTTACCTGAGGTATTGTAGAGGTAGGCATGAGGGAAGTATCTATACTTGACAATGGGATACAAGAAGATATGGCAGAAACAGAGTTATTGTTATGGCTGGCAAAGTGGGGGACTTCTATAGGCAAACTTGAGGTTACATTGGTGACTGCTGATGTGTGCGTGACACAAGGAGCTGTGTGGCTCATAGTCAAGGTGGTGTCACTCACAGAAACACCCTCATTATTCAGTGATATACGGAAATGTGGGGCAGAGAGAGTAGTAGATAAACTTGTGGTCCCTTCAGATGTAGTCAACAATGTTGATGTTGATGATATGGATGTTTGTAACTGACTAGGATTTAAATCATTCTCGGAGGAAATCTGTGAAGAAAGATTATAAGATGATAGATCCAAATTACGGGTAGCATCCTCAAGGACCTTGCTGACATTATCAACACTGTCCCTCTCCTCAACTTTCTTTGGATATGTGCAAACATCAGTTTCTGCAATGTCACAGTGTGCACTTTGATCATTATTAAGTGCAATGGTACTCTTTTGTTCCAAAATTTCTTCACTTCCTTGTGCATCTCTTTGGATTCTCTTTGATGATGTTTCACCAACAGCACTTTCATCCAAGTCCAAATGGCGTTTTACTGAACCAGGGTTTGTCAGGTTTGACAAAAAATTTTCTCTTATTCCTGAGGTGGAAGCAACAGCACAAAGAATGGGTGACGACTGTGTCTTTGACTGTTCCTTTGGCCTGTAAAGACCTGAAGTAACTCCCAGGAAGCTAGCAAGATATTCACATACCTGAAATAGATAAGCTTGAATAGTATAAAATATTTATCATCTTTTAATAGATAACTATAAACTTAGTGTGCTAAATATGGCATAAAAAAACAGCACACAGTGAACATCAACCAAATATTGTGGGCAACCTGTACCTGCTGTACTAACAAATATTCATAAATATTATTGAATTTAACAATATTGTGACAAATTGATAGATAAATGGGTATGTGCAGTGAGAAAAAAATAATATATACTCTTTCATAAGTCTGCTTTTAAATTTTAAGATATATTTCGAAAATCAAGAAACTCTGAAGTTCCCATAGAGATTATCAGGTATCAGAAACTATTTTTAATTAATAATATACAAAATCTTTTATCATCTTACATATATTAAGCATTCCAAGTCTAAACATTCAGATAATTTGAGGAATGCCTGGAACACACTGAAAAAAAGAAAGCAATGGAACTGGATGACGTCAGGTTTAGCCCCTTCACTACGGGGATGCCACTTTTAATATTCTACACAGTAAACCCTTGTTATTCGCTGGGATTAGGTTCCATGGAATGACACAAATAGGCAAAACCATGAATAGTGACTTAAACCTCCTTAGTGCACTACTGAATATGTACTACCTATACCAAACAACCGACCATCCACGGCAGCACTCATCCCCTCCTTTAACTTGTCTAATAATTCAACTTTCTTTGTCAGGGTCATCACTGACTTCTGCCTTAAATGTTTCACTCCACTAGCATCACTAGCACCGACACTAGGCAATCTTTTAGGGGCTATTTTCACATAGAAACACTAAAATTTTGAGAGTAACAACATGAGATGCCGTGCCACAGAGTAAGAGGAGATGCTGTGGGCACATGGGGTGACTCATTGCGCTGCGGGAAAAGGCTCCCAAACTAGCCACCATCTGCTTGCCGCAAATTGTCAAAATTGCAAACCCGTAAATAGCAGGAGTCTACTGTATGACTAATGCCAGACCATTTTATTCAGTTCAATGGGGAACCCATACACAAGGAGTTAAGTGTAAGGAAACCATTACTGACAAGATTCCAAAAATAAGACATGGAAATAATGTTTATTGGATCTGAAGTAAGACAAATAAAATGGTATTGATGATTGAGGGAATGATGAGGCACACAACCTGAAGGACAACAAATAACAGCTATACTGTACATGTAGTCAGGGTGAGTACCCCAATGAGATATCACCCACTGAGTCATTAACAGCCCCAACCCTACTTTACCTCATTTTACTCAGAACCACATTTTTGTGGTACTTTTCACGATCAGATTAACTGTTAATGCCATGCAATAAACACATGTAGAAGATATTGAGAAGTGAAATCTGTTCCATAATAACCACCCATATGTTTAGAATTTTGCCCATATTTCAGTCCTAAGTAGCACCTGGAAATATAACTTTTCATTGTGGACCAACCTACATGCCAAAAATGGAATAAAAAGATTTAGATTTAACAAATACTTTACCTTAACACTATTCACCCGTGCAGATTCGTCAGCAACAACCTGGTCAGCTTCACCGTCATTAAATAAATTATCATTATTACTGTACAATGATTGATTCTTGGATTCTGAAGGCTGTAGCAGAACATCATTTTCTGGATCCAAATCAGTCTTGAGAATACTTGGGGCAGAATATTCTAGTTGTTTGGTTAAAGCAGAAGATTGAGTTTCTTTGTGTGCAGACTCTTGACTTCTATTACATGAAGCTTCTGGTAAGGGTTCCAAGTGTCTTTCAAAGTCTTCTTTGCATTCTTTGAAAAGGTTTAGTAAAATATTTAACCTGTTCTGCCAGGAGCAATGTACACCATTTGCATCTTTACCCTCAGATTGAAAGCAGAGTAGTTGCCATGGAGTTAAATTCTCTACCAAACGTTTCCCAACTGCTTTCTGGATGTCTTCGGATTTGTAGCCACTAAGGATCTGTATAAACATAAGGAGTTTAATATGTCTGCATTTCTCCCTAATATTTATATCTAGTTATAAAGATTATACTGTATACGTACTCTCAACTACCTTTATCAGTTTTACCTAATTAGATGAGCAGACAATTATCCATTTACCCCTCTGTTCATTCACAATTTATTTACTTCTTAACTTTTCTTTTGTGTGGGGTCAATAAAAGGGTCCAAAAACCTCAAGGAATGATACAAGAGTGGTGAAGGACAAGTGAAGGAAAGACAAGACAGGATTAAGATAACAAATAGAATTACTGTACTCACATATTTGTTCATACAGTATCATCAATATCCACTTTCACTTATACAAGAACCTCTCAATTTACACGATAATTATGGTCTTGAAAATGGTTATGTAAATCAAACAATATAAATAGTGGACATTAGGGGGTTTTGTTATTAATAAAACAGTGCCCAATATTATACCCGTAAAAGACTACGGTACTGTATACACGTATCAGGAAAAAAAATACTCCGGACCTTTGCTTATATCACAAGCATGCTGACGGGAACATAATAGAAACTTCGAGAATATGAGGTGTTAGATGCAGTGATTAATGTTCTACTCCTGACACTCTTCTTTGCACTATGACGAATAGTCCGTAAAGTAGATTCACTAACTCCAAGGGCATGTGTAAAATCAACTATTCATTCACTTTTCTCGGTATTCTGCAACACAAAATGTTATAGCACTCTGTGACTATAGACTGCAAGGTAGGAAGCTGCATACCCATGTCATGCACTTCTTGTAAGGCATTGGCAGTACAACACCATCACACTGCCAGCCTAATGATGATGTTTGTTGATGGTCACATTATTGCAAACATAAGCCCGCATAAATAAAAAAAGGTGTAAATGGACGACACACGCTATTCTAAAAATGGCATAAATCAAATATGCATAAATTGAGAGGTACCTGTACATGATGCCTTTACTGAACCATTCTCCAACCAGCCTCTTGACTCTTCCTTTCTTGCATATTTCACTTCTCCCTCTATCTAAATAAATTACAATCTTCTGAAACTCACCTCAGCATCTACCAAATGATCTAAAAAACAGTCTATCCCTCTAACTAACATGTGAAGCATTTATATGAACTTTCTTAATTTTTATTTTTTACTTAACATTAACTTAATATCATAACATACTATATTTAATAAGTAAAACAAATCACCTTTTCCAGCATATTTAAAGGGGAAGCTACTGGGGCTGGAGGGTTACTCGAAGCTGCCACTGCACTTCTTCCTGGCCCACCAAACTTTGCTCCCCTTCCTCTACTGCGACGTCCTCTTCTTCCTCTACGACCTCTGCCTCGGCTTGGTTTTACCGAATTCAACTCAGTAGGGACATCAAACTGAGGCTCATGTGAACTAGTGCTTGGCTGCTGTTGTGTGTGTAAGCTGGTTGGGGTGTTAATGGGTTGGGTGGTAAGCGTTTCCATGGGCAAACTAGGTTCTCCACTGGTCTCAGAGGCCTGGGTTCCTGGGGTGGGACTCAGGACAGATTTGTTAATTTCACTACCCTCATCTGTAATGAGCTTTGAAGAATCTGATAAAGTCTTAATGGCAGAATATGACTGCTTAAGGTCACTTGGGGAAAGTGGGTGCTCTCGGCGGTGGTCAGGAAATTTTTGGTAATGGGCTTCCATGCGTCCCATGTACAGTTTGCCACATGTCAGACAAGTGTAGCGAAGACGAGTTAAAGCAGGCACCTCTCGCTTCTTCCGCCGAGGCAACTCAATAATGGCTGGAATAAAACAAATATCACAACTCAGTATTTCAACTTCTACATAAAATTACTACTCAATAACAAAAATTTAAGGTGAAGACATAATTAAGATATAAAATGTAAGTTGACTTAATATGAACAAGCATTCAAAATACAGTAGTTGGCCTTTTCTTATTTACTGATTTATGACACATTTTAAAATGAGAAATAAATCCAGTAGTTTACATTCTGGTTTAGGTGAGAGATCAATTAGCACCTGCTACCCATGGGAACACTTCACTGCTTTGCTCTTTCACTACATTTACACTGCAACACAACCTACTCGCAGGGCCGTATTTCTAAGCAGCCCCTGTGACACCCAGAGACCCTGCTAGACAGGACAGATCCATGCTTGTGGTGCTCAGAGACTGTTCGACCCAACAGAAGCATGTACATGGTGCCCAGAGGCCATACTGGACCCAACAGGCCCAAACCTGCAGTGCCCAGAGGCCCTGCTGCACCACACAGGTCCATGCCTGTGCTGCCCGGAGGCCCTACCAAACCCAACAGGTTGATCTGATGAAGGCAGGGTATAAACTCAAGAAGGCAACAATATTTTTAGGGCAAAACACACAAAATAATATTGAATAATAAAAATATGTACCTGGCACTGGTGGTTTCTCCTCAGGTTCAGGCTGGTGGTGCTCAGCATAGTCTGAATAACCAATGCTAGGAGTATCCTTGTCCTTGTCATCATCATTGAAATTAATAGGGTGGAGATGTTTGAAATCCCTCACCATGTGACGCGGTGGTCTTGATATACGTCCTGAGCGTGTGCGAGCAATGGGTTTTTTCCTTTCTTCGTTTTCATCCTAAGAAGCAACAAAAGTATTGAAAACTTTAGACTAGAGGACTATTATAAATATTCAATGAGGGTAACTTTGAGATACAGGTAAACCTCTATTAAACAACTGAGGTCCATTTCATCATACATATTAACTACTGTACAGTCTACAATCCTGCTAATCACTATCACTGTCTTTTTTTTCTTTGAGGGGTCTTGTCTTTAGCAACCTAAGACTTCATCAACACCACAAGGTGTGTGGCGGCAAAGGGTTAAACTTTACTTTGATAAAACTTAAAAGACAAGTCAAAGAGGAACATCTTTGACCTAAGTCCTTCATTTAAGATCAAATTTAACTGAAGATTATCTTTTTTGTACACCTGTGTTTGTATTGTTATATATGACTAACTCTGCATCACCTTACCATTATTATCATTTACAATAACTAACTGATATCTTCCTTGACCAACTTCTTATCCATAAGCTAGTTTTCAACCCAACCACATACATCCCTTCACTGTACTGTATTTAAAAGGACCCTTCTTTGGCCAACACTCAACACTAATTGCCATGTTTCATCGTAATCAAATAACACATACTTTGGTAATATGTTCACACACACACATGAAAAATAAAACAGCAATAAAGAATAATAGGTGGACTCATTTTTACAGTACTTGGCCAATTATTGGAAGTGTAAGGCCAATCTAGAACCAATTTAATTCTAGTGAAAATACTTCAACAGTCAAGGACATTCTGATACGCATATAAGAATCGTGCTATAACTTAAACTTACAGGAACAATTGTTAAGAATACCATTCTTTATAATCCCTCCAGCAATTGCTGTCAAAGTGTACGATGTGAAGAATACAGTTGTGGTGAAGTACAAAACAAAAGTTTGGATGTGTAAGTTTCTCAAGAGACTCTGAAAACACAAACATAAAAGGACTTTGTAAACAAATGCTGTACAGTACATAATCCAAGATAATAATCTAACAAACTGATATAAAGGTGTTGGAACTTGTGGTGTAAAAGCACGGGAAGACATTTTTCTGAAAATATACCATTATCTCAACATCAATTTCCTCTTCTTCATGTAGCTTAATTTTTCTCCAGTCCTTTGATTTTCTTCCCTTCCGCTTTTCTTCTAGCAATCCCAGCCGGGCATCCCACAAGATGTCATCCTTGCTTTCATCATCATCATCTTCTCCATGAAGGATGCCCTCAGGAAACACAACCTGATAATACAGTATATATATATATATATATTTGTTGTCTGAATAAGGGGGGAGGGGGGGTGGGGAGAGAGAGAACATATTTTTTTTTAAATGAGAAAAAAAAGGCAGATTGTTTCAGAGTTGAATGTAAAGGCCATCATTCTTTCTCTAAGATTCTGGCATAATTGCCCTTTAATCAAAATAAAGTACCATAGGCAATAGGATAAAAAAGGCAAATACACATACATTACTGTACTAGTATTTATAATAAAACGTACACATGATAGGGCATCAGCACACACAATGATACTACTATTAATCTAACCTTTAAGTAGTGAACAGCCTAGAAGCAAGAAATTTTAACTAGAAACATATGCACCATGAAACATTTTCAACATGATCTACTTGAGTATGTCAACATTTTGATCATAAACTAAAGACTATAAAAGTATTAGGTAAAACGTCCGAGGGAGGACAGTTCCAAGATAAATGCCTTCAAAATCTGAAGCAAATTGGATGCAGTATTGTGGTCATGTCTGGAAAAAAGCCACATTAGTAATGACAAAAATAGATTCCTAAAACAACTGAAGAAGGTAAAATATAGATTCAGTACAAACCTAGAGCATCTTATTTTAGGTGACCACAAGATATTGTACAGCAATGAACAGCAGCTTGAATTTACTGGTCAAAAACATAGAAAAAATCAAGCCAGACTCCTTATTGATGGCCCTGAAGCCCAACACTGATTGGAAGCAACTTGTTTTCACTCTTGCAAGCTTCTTGCTATGGCACATGGTGGCCAAAAGCAACAACGACTCTTCCTTAATATGTTGTCATATAATCTCTCTAATTGCCTTACTAAATATGTTCCACCCACAACTACAGTATTATGAAATCTCACATGAATATTCAAATGATCTATCTAAAGATGTAACATCTTAACAGCATAGCATACACAACATGTACAATACCTTGTAGACAATTTTCATATTAGTTTTTGGATCATATATCTCATCATGGTGAACGGTAGGTGGTGCAGTGATGCGGCTCTGCTGCAGTAAGGTTGTAATCTGTTCTAACTGTCTCTCTTTAACAGGCTGCAGAGCCTGAAATGTATTACCCTGCAAAACAATAAATAAGCTGTACTAATGTATTTTATGTAAGATGTGGGAGAACAATAAAAGGAAGAAAAGAGGTAAGAACTGGATTCACATTGACATATACAGTATATACAGTATTGCAGTGTGCTATGTGTCTTTATTTTCACAATTTTAAAGATAGAGATGAAATTTAGTAGGGAGGTGTGGGTGGCCTAGGGGTTGGTCATGCACTATTTCCTGTCCCTTCACAAGGAGCAGGTCAATCCCTAAGGGGCCAACCCACACCCTCCCATACAGAGGATTGATGAATTTCTACAATTTTGAAGATCGAGCAGAAATTTGGTAGAGATGTGTGGGAGGCCTAGGGGAGAGGCATACACTATCTCCTGTCCCTCCAACAAAGCAAAGCTGGGTAACTTACCTAGTGAGCAGTAAAGGTATACGGAGTTAAGAATTGGACTCGTGCTATGATTATACCATTGTATAAAGAAAAAATATGAAACATAATGAATTTCCTTGCTATATATGGATGACTCAAATATTTACTAGGCAAAATGTAAATCAAATACCCAGTTTAAAGAGATGATACATGATCCATGGACTTACAACCTGTTTAATCTGCAACTCACCGTGAAAGTACTATCTGTTGAGAAAATATATGGAGAAGAAGCAGTTTTGTTAAATTTACAGATCCAAAACACTGATAATAAGAGTAAAGGAGGAGACCTGGAGCATTGTATAAATCTCACGTGATGTAAAGTAGACAAAGTTAAAATTAGAACACAAAAGAGGGGGCCTCTCTTCTCCTAATAATGACCCTTTTCTCCAGCAATATTCATGATGAACTAACCCTTTCTTAACTTCTACATTGCCCTTTTGATAATTCATATTTTTCTTACTTGTATCTCTTACCTGAGCACTTTTGTCTTTCCCTCATTCTATTTTACCATTTTTACTTACCTACAGGGACCCCCCTCTACAAGCTCCAGTTTCTCAATGTAAGCACATGTCAACCATTTAAAACTGAAATTTAACCAGCATACATGGTGGAAATACAACATTATAACTGACTCAGGTAAACTCTGCTGTGCCCCTGTAATATTTTCAACACACAAACCTAAATAAAGAAAAAATCCAGATTATCAACAAAATGCAACAACAACAGTTCATCTAAAAATGTTGATTTCTCTTGGTGGTGATGGGCGAGACTTGTAACCAAAGACCTAGTACGTACTGTACTGCATTTACCTGCTGCACAAGTTGTATTGGGTTCTCACTAGACCCAAGAGGCTTCGTGTTATCAACCCCTGGAAGGTGCACTGTGAGGGGGGTTTCATCCCCTCCAGATGAACAATACACGATAGTAATCAGGCTCGGAGGGTTTGAGTTAGACTGACTACAGCCTGCCAGGGCCTCCGTTGATTCTGTGAGGGTATAACAGCAAATATTAATAGACACATGAATGGGGACTTGGAGTCAAACTTTTGCCCCAGTATAATTATGTCTTTAGGTTGAGTTGGGGGGATTGGGAGGTGAGGAAGGGGATGGAAAGCAAGCAAAAAGAAAGGAGAGGGAAGGGAGAGGAGGAGGAAAGTGGCATGGGAGGAGATGGGATTTGAGGAAGAAAAAAGAGAGAAGAGTTGGGGGATGGCAATGGAATGGGAAGCAAAGGATTGTAATGAGAGCTGGTGGATCCTGAAGGCAAGCAAGTATTGAACCAATAAATCATTGTGAATACAGTTCATTTATGTATATTAACCATGTACAGTGCTTGCATTTAGAATGTACAGAAGAATAATGGTCATGTCATTCCTAACCCTTGAAATTTTAATTTTTTTACAATAAGTAAAATTTTGGCAGGTTTTGAGATCCAGGAATACAGTACATAACATATTTTATACATATACAAGTCTTTCAAGGATGTCCATCCACATAGACAGAAGCCATAAATGTGTACATTAGTAGTCGTGATCCACATAAAAGGAATCTACCCATTGGAACAATTAGCTACAAAGCAGCTTTGAAGCGTGAACAATAATAAAAAATTTCACCGATTTAACACTGAATGACTACTTCTTGCGACTGTAAACACATTGAGGACTTTACACAAAAACACTCTAACTGCAACAACTGTACTGTATTACCCATACTGCATTTGCAAAATAATCCACCTCCACAGAGATTACTCATATGTCATACCTTCACACTTGATGGAAGGATCTGGTGTTGTAGATGAAGCTGTAGTGAAAACTGTGGAGTCAGTCACAGATATGGGTCCAGTGTTGACTTTAATGGTAAGGGCTCTGTCACTGCACACTGATGATTCCTCTTTTAATTGAGTCTTATGTTCGTTGTGTAGAACTGAATTTGACGAAGGATGGTGGGACAGATGCAATGCTACATCTTCAACTTTTATGGGAGGTGTCACTCCTCTCTCAGCCAGAAGTGGTGATGGACTTCTTAACAGCCCACTACTGGTACCTAAGGTAAATCCAGCAGAAGATGGTATTACTAAGGCTTGGGGTGATACATTTACTGCATTAGAGAGCCCTGCTATTGATGCACTCAACGTAGTAGGTGTTACGGTTTCCATATCCTCTGCTTTTATCTCAATATCCTGATAGGTTTGTTTAGTGTCCAAAAATGATATTAGATTTCTGAACTTAGTCCGCTTTGCTATGTCTCGTAGATACATACTACCAGGGACTCTAGGTGTTGATTTTGGAGCAATAGCCTTCCAGTCGATGTGTTTTGGTTTAATGTTACTGTGTTTCTTGGCTTGCTGGTGAGTACTGACCGGCACATTTTGATTTGAACGAGGAAAGGACATTAAAGTTTTCTCAGAAGTGTCTCTTGAAGGCTGAAACTGTGCATTACTTATTGAAACCGAGTTGGAATCAAGGGGCTCTGGAACTGATACTTCGGAAGAAACATCAGAATCTGAACCTCTTATTTGGAGCATGGAAATACTACCATCAGCATTATACTCAGGGATTAAAAGAAAAGGTCCTAAACTAACATCTGCATCGCTAGTTGATATGTCACAAGAACCATTTCCACCTATCCCATCATGCCTATCCTCCTCGGGAAATACAGATGAAGTACCTCCTTCTAAACCCTCACTATTGTTGTCAATTTCTGTTATTTGGTTTTTCTGGTCAGTTGCCAGGTTTAGGTGAGGTGTGGACAATTCCTGAAGTTTCACTGGTGAAGGATGAACTGGGTTTTGCTCAGCACCAACATTTCCACCAAGCAGTTGAAGGTTAAGTTTGCAAGCCTCTTCGGGTGAAAGCTCAATAGTTTGGGTAGAACCATCTTCTCCCTGGATGATGGCAACTATTGTAGACATATTCCTTGGCTGTCCCTGGCTCTCATCTGTACCTACATGCATAACTTGGCCTTGATCTGTAGCTATATTTACACCTTGGCCATCAACTTGCATCTGGCTTGAAACAATAGGAAGTCTCACAATATTCTGAAGGCTTTCTACAGAGCTATCTTCCTGACTACCAACTACTGTCCTGCCCTCTACATGAGAGTGTAAAAGTTGAGTATTTGCTGACAGAGTAAACACATCACTTCCACAGCTCTCTTCACCTGCATCAGCAAAATTTGATTCTTTTGTAATGACTCTCTGTACAAGTGCATTGTGAAGCTGTAAAATTGCTCCAGATTCAGCTTCATTTCCCTTTTCTGGAACATTAACATTTGCAATTTTTTCTGGTGAGAGTAATCCATAATCAACCTTTGACTGGTGAAGAGTTTGACCTATGACTTTATGAACAGTTCCTGTCTTATCTTGTGGAAGCATAAACCCAGGCACTTCTCTGCCATTAACTTTGACCTGAACTGAATTAGGTCTTATGTTATCTCCAAGATTCTCAGACTCCTCCAGTCTAGCTCCTGAAGGGTGAGTGAGCTTGTTTCCCATTCCAGGATCAAAGATTGCTTTTGCATTATTGTGTGATTCAACATTTCCTTGTCCTTCAATTGATGACGCGAGGGCGGTGTTGTCCTGGACAACTGACTCTGTTCCCTCACTTGTCAAGATCACCGGTTGTCCATTTAGAAAGAGTAGTGTTTTACTCATCTTAGACTTCAACTAAGACATATTTTTCATTTTCCTAAAGAGAAAAGATAAAGAAACTAATCAATTACTGGCTCAATTTACACTATTTCTATTATCATTGACATTATTGTAAATACGATTATTATTGTCCAGACCTGAACTAACCTAATACTATAGGGTGACTACTGGCCAAACAAAACAAAATTCCCTGGCTGTTACAAGTTTTTCAGGTGTAAATTTGAAAAATTCCAGGTACATTAATTCGGTATTTATTACGACAGAATAACCAAATTAAAGGACTTCAATAATATGTATGTACTGTACTACAGTATTGAGAAATTTATAGTTGATATATCATATTAACCAAGAAACTGAAGACTCATTCAGGACCCCACCTCAATTTAAACAGCCAATTCTCTGTCACGTCTCAATATTGTAGGTCACTTACCCATCAATTTGTTGTATTGCCACAGACTACTGGACTGACTATTTAATTTAACCAACTATGACCAGGATGATCATTAGGCCTAGTAATGAACATCGGCAAAGACCTTGACACCCACCCCCCTCCATATTTTTTGTCCTCGGATTTAAGCGATTCACGTGGGCCGGCCTGGACATTCCAAAAAAGCCGGAAATCATGCTAAAACCTAAAAATCACACTCCTGATCCACCTATATGACTCATGATAAATATATGGAATAATCCACTTTAATCAAGTCACTTAATTATAAGAACAATTCACCGCTGACAATATTCATTTCAAAATTAGTAGGTATAACCTGTAATATTTGGTTACAGTATTTGATCACTAACATGAAATATGATAGGTACACAAACAATTCAGTTATTGGAGTGGACTATTTACTGGAATTTGTTCCTAAAAGTTTAATTATTTACCAATTATACAGTACATCATTAATTTATGGAAATATTGTTGTCAAAATAAACAATATTTTGAAGGTGAACTGAATTCACATAAACTTCTAGGTTTAGTTGTAAGATTCCCTGGCTTTTCCAGACCAGTAGAGACCCTGTAATATATTTATCTTGTAACAGAAGTTCATTACAGATATTGTGGGTTAGGTTAGGTAGGTTGATTAGGGTGTTATTTTCCAAGTAAAAATTTGTATGGGAAGTTTGCTGAGAAAGTTGCTTAGCAACAGTTTTGAAGTGTAGGGAAATTGTGGGTTAAAAAAACATAAAAAAAACTCTCCACACCTAACCTGACCTTTCTTGGCAATTTTGCATTGTTTCATGAAAACCACTCATGTTTATCTTCATAATAACGGCAGTCTACACCACACTTGGGCACTTTACTTAAGTTTACAGAACAACATAGGCCTCGAAAATGTCAATTCTAACAGTGTTATTTACAAAAACACCTTGAATGGTTTGCAATTTTGAGAAACAGCAGTCTTCACACAGAGAAGCCATCAAGACTTCTGCAGATTGTACAATCGTTTAAAGAAGTATCTTTACAAAATTGTGCTAGACAATAATTGTTTTTCTCTTTTATTTATTGGGCACCCCCCTACATCCTTGTGTAAGGTGAAGCGCAGAAGCGTTTTTACAGCGCCCAACAGGGAAGCATGCTAAGTCCATGCTTGCCTTATGTCTCATGAGTTAAGGGCGTAGAAGCCTGAAGAGTCAAGGGCGTAGAAGCCTGAAGTGTCAATGGTTTATGTCTAGGCAAGTTATTGGAAGCTCCAACAACTTGTCCCTGAATACGAATTTGCAACTTTCGATTTACCGCAGGTACCTACTTTGCTGCTAGGTGAACAGGGACCAAGGGGACTAGGAAGAGTGTCCAAACAACTTCCTCCAGCCCTGGAATCGAACCCATGACATCTTGCTTGCGAGGTAAGAGCGGTACTGCTCTACCACCAGCGCCCCCTGCTAGACAATAATATGATGCAACAGATGAAGAGTTTTGACAACCCCACTAAGACAACAGGAGTCATAGTGTTCATTCTGAATTTTATCGACCCTCTCCAGTAAAGATAGTTTTTTTTAAGCGACTGTATTGTACTTTTTTGGGGGGGGGGGGAAATAAAATTATTTGCAACAATATAATTTTCGATTCTAATGCTATAGAATAAAGACTTTTTTTTTTGCTTTTATTTCATTATACTGTACCCATATAAAAATCAATATAGAGTTCTGTGGTTGTTTTTTACCAAAACTTGTTTCTTGTCTCATAAACTAAAAGAAATTACTGCCATACTTTTGGCTTTCCCTTAGTTTTGTTCAGACTAAGACCGGTGTGTAACACGCACACAACCATCTCGGACTGTCATGCTCCCCTTCCTTCTGTTAACAAAGTATTAAAAAAATAAAAAATGACTATAACCATCCTACCTTATAACATAAAATAATGCATTTCAATCATAAGATAATATGTACAGTAGGTAAGGTTGGTTTCATTAGTCTGTCTTACTTATATACACTAAAATTATTGTCTGTACGCGCTGATGCCAAGTAATTCTCTTTTGTTGACTACCAATTTCTAGTGATTCCATCATTCTCCTTGCAATGCAGGTTAGGTAAGTCAGATTGGTTTATCTTATGTACAATAAATCATTTATGCTGCTGCAGGAAAGTCTTTGCTGTTTAAGTATGAAATGCCACTTAGGCAAAATTACCAATCCACTTTACTAATAATACAATCACCCAAACAACAAATAAATAAAAAAAACAAAGAAAATCCGTAAACGTTTTCTGGTGGTAGCAGTTTCCTTACAAATTAGCACACTGTAGTTTGTTGTACTTCACCGGAAGAGAGAGAGGCCACGGCCTACTTGCCACTTCATAAATACAATCATAGCTGTTACTTCTTTGCTCCCAACTTGAGTTACATTATATGCACTACTACAAACGGTTAAATATGTTTTCCGCAGAAACCAAACCATCATAAAGTCCTCGTAGTCATTCTTGCATTTATCAAAGTCTGAACTTCCTTGTAAACTTGCAATACAAAAGATTTTTACCCACGTATTTTAAAAGAAAGTTTCAACATGAAGGAAAGGTGGCTGATTAAAAACAGTTGCCATACCAAGTACCTGGATGTGCTGGGCTTGTGATAACCGATAAGAATCACTTACATTCAGGATCACAGTAATGTAAAGCCAAGAGTATACCGTCCTCTCGTCCCTCGTCCACCTTATCGCCTGCTCGATTGTTTTCATTTGCAAGGCTCGCGGCAGCTGGCCCAAAACCTACTTACAAACTTATATATTTCACTCCCTAACATGATCTACTTTTTGAATCGCATTAAAGTTTTCGACATAGAGTAAAGATTTTAATTTTATGAAGATTTATAAACGTATTTATGACATGAAAAGTAGCATGTATGAATCATTAAACGCAAAAATCTTTGACCCGTCTTAGACATCATCACGTGCTACCACCTATTGGTCATATATCTCAGCATTACTTAGACCTTTAAACATTATCAGTACTAGATTTTATCTAAAATAAACAAATCTCAGAAGCTTATTGTCTGAAACCACAATTTACACAGAAAACCTACGTACACGTATATTTCAGGCATTCTTTTCCTCATTTGCAACAATGCATGTAACTATCGTCAGACCGGAGTTGCTTCTATCTTCATTCTTCATTCTTCTTTCAATTTTAAGTGGGGATGAATCATAGGCGTAGAATCCAAAAAAATGGACAAGGTTAATGTAGGGACAGTGATGCACTATAAAAGTGAAATATATTAGAAAAGGGATGAAACAACCCTAACTGGTCGACTCAAAAACATCTGCGACTTCATTCGTCTTACCAGTCTTGTGCTCTTATGTTTAATGTGTAATCTCTCATTTCCAACACCCATCTGTTCATTCGCTGACTCTTAGTTTTCTTGCTAAAAACAGACGTTAATTATTGATGATCAGTCTTAATGGTAAAATGTGTCATTTTAAATCCGAGAGAAAAGTCATTTGGGGGTACCCCTTGGTGTCAGGGCCCAAAATTGAGATATCTGGGAATTTGTTTATATTCTCAGTATAGGTACTGTATCCCTGAGCATGTTGATGGCTCTAATGGCAGCTATGGTTTTCCCGAGGTGACGTTTTGGTGTTATTCTGAAAGTACTTTGTTAAAACCATTAAACTCTAATTCCGAGATAAATATTTTTCGGCTTTAATCTGTGGCCAAAAATTTGTGTGCAGGGTAATTACTGGTCGGGAGGATATTTAGAAGATACTGTATAAATCGTCTTATACTGTACAGTACTTTCTTTTTAACATATCTTGTGGTTGTTTGTCCAGCGTAACCAGTTTATATTGCTTCATCATTTAATTGACATTTGCTAATGTAAGAATACAATTTTTTGATAATTTTAGATCATATTTGCCAAGGCATTTAGAGCAGAAGTTAAGCATCATTGCTCACTAGCAGTTGTCCAATACAGACTATTTATGTATTTGCCAGTTCATTTGGTACTTTGGTGTATTCACTCATTTGTAAGACTTTCTTGGATAACATCTCTACTGTACATCTTTCAAATAAGTTTCATGTAATCAAGTCAAATATTTATGTACAGCAATAACAAACACGTGCAATGTCAAATCATGGGAAGGATTTGTTGTACATCTCCTTGTAAGTCTTCATAACATGTTGACTTAAGATACTTCATTACATCAAATATATTTGTTTAAAACCATCTCATTAGTATTCATCAACACATCTGATGTAATAAAGAATTTTGAGTCTTCAACATCTTATTATAAAGATGTACAGCAACTCTTTTCTACTTATGACTCGTCAAGTCCTTTGGTCTCGCTAAACACTCTGTACTTTTGAAAAATGTCAAGTCAAAATAAAAGATTGTGTCTCCTCAAACAATATACAGCCATATTTGGACTTGTGAACTTTTTTTTTAATTTTCCCGATTTTTTAAGTGTTATCTCATGGAGGAGCTCCAGCCCACCTGTCAGGTTTTTACCTGAAAAACAGCAACAACTTCAACCTGGCAGAATTGGCTACACAATGTTGCTAGTTTCTCCCATTTGGTAAGCCTTCAAGAAACCTTTACAATACATGCCTTACGTTATCTTCGCCACTTGGAGAGTCGGTCACGTCTCTTACGCACTGTTTAGAAGTAGCAGATAAGGTTCCCCCTGTTTATGAGGACACTAAGCATTACCCACACAACCAAACAATATACTGTAAACCTGTATTAACCACACAACCAAACCATACACTGTACCTTAAATTATACAAGCAAAGATCACTATAAACAAGGAATAGCATGTACTGTATTACCATTATATAGCATCTAGTCTAGTATATAACAACACGACACACTCCAACTACCCACACATTTACCAATCCTGGATAAATAATTCCTCGTCTTACCTTTAAATAAACTAGATAGGTTCTAGGTCTACTTCTGGGCTGCTGGTAAAAACCGCCAGTAAAATTGTCGACACACAACTCACAACATAACCCCCCTCCTCCCCCCACGCCAGGCGGGTCAACACTAATGGTGACAGGTCGACTCCAAGTTCTCCAACTGTCCTCACCCCTCATGGATGCCAGGGTCCGATAATTAAAAAAAATAAATAAATTAAATCCTTAATCTCAGTAAACTTAAACTAGATTTTATTACCAGTATGCAAAATAAATCTTTATAAATTTTAGAGTAGCCTGTTTTTTTGCAATATTATTTAAAACAACTAACATGACAGAAGTGAATTTTAACCTCGAAAAATACCCATGCCCTAGAAACATTTCTTTGAATAATTTGTTTGAGGTTCGAGGTAGTCAATTCATAATACAGTACTGTAGATGACTGGATTAAGTAGTTTTTAGATAACACTCCTCTCTAGGATCACCATAATCCAGTACCGTTATCACAAGGAATGTACAGTATTATCGGCCTTAGGGGGCGAAATAAAAATCACCCATAAATAAACACAAAAATCGAAAAAAATAAACATCGGGAGTGAGAATATATATATATATATATATATATATATATATAGTAGCATTGTACGTTGTTTTGTCAAAGTAAGAGAAACAACTGAGACCATGGAATTGTGTGTAAATGAGGCAGAAAAACAGATCAGCAACCTGGGACTTGGTCACAATTTTTGTGGTGCCATATGGCAGCAGGGTCTACCATTAGACAACACATTATGCTTCCAATATCTTCCCAGGCGGTAGTACCTCCCTGTTTGATAGCTGCCTACTACCTACATAACCAAACCACACGCTAGATATATTAATATTAATGCTACTAGATATAGGTACACAACACTATAAGTTAATCATATAATGCAGTTATAGGCACACAACATTACAGTATAAGTAAGTTAATTAAATACATTGATATAAACTCGCCCTTTAATTCATTAACACCTGTTGTACTAAAATATAAACACATACAGTATATGAGACCATCATTCAGAGTACTGGTTAATACTCTCAATACTAAAGCATAACAAAACACTGTTCTTTAGTCACATGTGAGCATCAATAAATTTAATTCTATATTCCCCATTAAAAGCCTTATATATATTTATTATTCTCTACAGGAGGATCAATAAAGACAACTTCTGTATTTTTTTCATCATTTTATTGGCAAGCGGAAAATGTTGTCATAAAAAGTGGCAGAAGCTGATGTTATTACCGACTAATACTATACTATAGGTAAAGACCAGAGATGTGTGGCAGCAACACGGCAAATAATCTTAATACTTTATTATACAGCACCTTATTTAATACAGTTTTATTAGCACAAGCTGTCAAAATTATATACTGTACTGTTCTTATGCTTATATATATATAAATACTGTATATGTACTGACACATATATAATAGGATGCACACCCACACGAATATATATATATATATATATATATATATATATATATATATATATATATATATATATATATATATATATATATATATATATATATATATATATATATATATATATATATATATATATATATATATATATATATATATACAGTATATAAACACGACACACACACACACACACACACACACACACACACACACACACACACACACACACATATTTCTATACAAACTCACACTTACACATACACATTTCTATACATACACACTCGGACACATTTCAAGACACACACACACACACACACATATATATATATATATATATATATATATATATATATATATATATATATATATATATATATATATAAATAATTCATTAAGACTTAAACAGCAAGCAAGAACATTAGTGAAGTATTGTGGGTTTTGTTTATGCTAAAAATACAATACTTTCTGCATAGTTGTAAGGCATATTGTTGAAGGCAGTGATTCTGGGTGACTTCTCAGATGGTGCTGCTCGCTCCCCAGCTACACCATCTGTCTACCAGCTACACCATCTCTCCACCACCTGCCTCTCATAGCCTATATTGTAATCATGTTCTGGGGTAACCTGAACCAGCTGTCATATACACCAGCTTGTAAAACCACCTGAACACACCAGCATATAAGACCATCTGACCGTACCAGCTTGTAGGACCACCTGAACGCACCAGCTGTCATACACTAGCTTACCTAAAAAAGTACTGTACCACCTCATTCAGTGTATAACAGAATCAGGTGGAATTATGGGTGCCACTAAACATGGGAAAAAAAAGTTGACCTGACGAAGCAATTCTCTGAGATTATTTTTTATATTTTTTTTAGATTACCAACAGTGAAAAAACACCACCATTTGTCTTTCCAATCAGACAGTAATACATAAGACTTGAGCAAGATTCCTAATACAGAATAATATATTAATCCTCCCAGTTGCATAATTCGCTTTGGTTATCAATTTTACCCATGGAAATTTCAGACAATTTCCTTAATTAATTTTTCTGATATGATTCTTCTTAAAAAAAAAATCATCCATGTTATTAAATATCTTCGTATGATTATCTGTGGGTACCAATAATCTTCATCCCTAAAATATTGAGAAAATTTTAGGTTTTCAGAAAGGAACTGACAAAAAAATACTAAAAATCAGACCAACCAACAATCCCTTCACTTACAAACATCAGCCACCAGTAACCTCCATCCCTAAAATTTTCTCTTACGTGCCATCGATCAGATTTTCAGAGTATGGGTCTTGACTCTTCTCTCCCTACCACCACCACGATGATAACCTACCCCCTGTTATAGCTCTCTTGACTCAACACCTAAAGATAATTACAAATGTGTATTAACGGGTTATTTCAACAGTTCAGAGTTGATACGGTGTATTTTTAGGGCTTAATATATGTATACAGGAGACGTTAATAATCCATCTTGGAATAAAATATCATTAATGCCATGTGAACTGTGAATTTCTTACGTAACTTCTCCACAATGTACACAAATTCACCAGAGTTGGGGTGAATATACATCTTTGCCACCCGGATGGAGTTTTACACATTATTTAAGGGTTATGTAATGAGATTCACAGTTGGTATATCAGTAGTAATTATTTCCCATCTCAAAAATACTTCATTGTCGTCTCCGTGTATAAATTTTTAGTCTCAAAAGGGGGTCTATTATTTCTGCTTTGAATTCCTATAATGATTTCCCTTTTAAAGTTTACATTACTCTGAGCCACAAACTATACACGTAAGACACCTCTCGTTTACAATGCAGGAAGACGGAGCAGAAACAAACACACGAGGAAAACATGATGACGAAGATGAGGAAGAAGGCACAGCATATTGAGGCACTGAAGAGAGAAGAGATAAAACAAGATGACAATAGGAACAGTGAGAGAACAACATTGGAAGTGAGGTAAACATGGAGAACGAGGAGGATGAAAAGTAATGATGACAAAACAAGCGTCAGGAATGAGAACACCAAAAAATACATTGGGTACGAATTATAGAAAGTGAGATAGGAAACACAGGTTGAAGGTGGTGTAGATGAAGTGAGGTTAGAGGAAGAAGGAAGAGAACCAGATGAGGAAGAAGGTGAGAAAGATGAGGAAGATGGATAGGAGGCAGGGAGATCACTGCAGGGTAAGATTTGAGATGGATGGATAGGAGGGATAGAGATACTGTAATAAGGTGGTAAATGGGTTAAAGGATGATGTGTAGGAGAAGATGGGGGAGAAGAAGGTGGTAAAGGTGAGGAGGAAGTAAGGGATGAGGAAGAATACGAAAAGGAAGAAGAAGGAGGCATAGTGGACGAATCAAATGAATAGGAAGAAGACAGAGATGGCCAAGGGGATGATGAGAAAGATGAAATATCAGAAGGTGAATGACAAGAAGACGAGGAGGAAGAAGAGGAAGATAAAGAACATAACGAAAAGGAAGAAAGAGAAGAAGAGGAGTGTGAAGATTTATCAGACAGCCTTTTAGTTTTGTGTGAGACGAACTGGGACAAAATCTATTATTAATCTATGGGTTGCTAGGTGAGGAACTTGACTACAGTGAGAAAGCCACAATGGTGCAGGAGGAATACTTGGACTACTATTATTATAAAAAAACTAACACGAATGACAGCTATTAAAAATATTATGACAAGCAGAAAGCTCGGCTGATGCGTATACTGTATATATAAATCTCGCAGCGACACCTTATGACTGTGTACACCAACGAGGGAAATTACCGTAATTTTTTCCCCTTAGGTGTGTAGGAGTCATGGATGTTTCCCTTCTACACAGGAAATGTTAAACCTGTGTTGTGGTGTGTTGACTTTGTTGACGTAGTGTAATTTCCATACACCTACAAGTTACATACAGAGACGTAACACCAGAAAATATCATCAGAACATACAGCTGTGACCATCTGGTAAACACTCACAGATATGACCACCTGGGAACCACAGGTAGATGTGACACGAGAGCCAACACCAGAACACACAGGGAGGCGACACTGGCGGCACAACATACAGGGATGTGACCCACTTCGTTACACACACACACACACATACACACATTCCCAGCAATAACTGGGAGTTTACATGACAGCAGGTTGTCCTTTAGATTAAGCAGGCAGGCTCTAAGCTGGCTAGGGTTCCTTACACACGTAGCAGGGTAGCACCACCTGCAGCTGGCTAGCTCATACTCAGCTGGGACAACACCAGCTGGGCTGGCAGGTCAAGAAGACAGAAGGGTCGACATAGTAGCTGCTTCTTGACCGAACTATCCCACAGTGTTGTAGTTTGAGTGATGAAGCTACAACTCCAGCTAGGTTAAGCTGGCCCCATGCACACGGTATAAGGGGGATCAGTGTTCAGTACAACCTATCAGTGAGTTACGTCACGACACAGAGGTCACCGCTGACAGGCGAACCTCTGCTCGAACTGTTTTTTTGTAAGAACGTCTTCACACCTAACATACGAATACAACAATGAGCACACTCTCTCACACCCCAAAAACTGAACACATAGTAACAACAATCCTTAGTGACCTATATCACTCATTCACATGTCTATTACTCAAGCTTATATAGAAAGAGAGTAGCAAAATAGTAAGCAATGACTTCTTCTTCTTCCTCTTCTTGTAGTTTTATTATACGTGCAGTTAACATGAAGGCGTTTACTCCTCGAGGTCACTGCCCAGGTTTGTTGATGGTCGGAGTGTGTGGCGAAGGTCCTGCGTCTTGGGTCCCTTCTTACTCCCGGCCGGCCACACTACAAGAGACAACACTGTTTAGCTCCTATTGTTTACACCGTGTTTCTGGTGTGTGTGTGTGTGTGTGTGTGTGTGTGTGTGTGTGCGTGTTACAGGAATTTGAAGGTAAAAAATTACTCTCCAATAATGCTTTAAACTTCAATGTAACATAAATCAATTAAAAACATATGGCATCAATATAATAAATTATCACATTACCATTTTATTCCTACCACATAAAAAAAAATCACTCCATATTGTTTTGACTAATAACTTCGACTCTCATTGGTTAGCAGAATCAACCAATAGGAAACACCATAGACCTAGTTAAATAATATTAGCCTTACCTGCATCACAAGATAGTACAGGCCTTGTTCTCCTTGAAGGGGTTCTCTGATTGGCTGATGCCCGTCACCAACACATCCATCTGTTGGTGCTCCTCGCAGTACTTGATCAAA